TCCCTGAAATTCTTGGTAATACCAATGTTCACTTTGTCTGGTTTTGTTGCAGCATGCCCCATATATATTATTAATATTAATATAAATATTTTTTTTAATTTGTATCACCATTAAATGTCACGTGATATAAAGATTTTATTGCATTTTTGAGCATAACTTACAATTCTGAGTTTTGATGTTTTTTCCCAAAATTGGTCACGAGGCGCAGCAAGTTGCGGGACTAGGTGACTTGCACCATACAAAGATTAAAGATCAGCAGCTATTACTCGCAATGTTAACATTCTTGCAGTTGATTTGGTATAGATACATATAGATACAGCAACTTCTTCTGAAATATCAAATTCCATTATTAAGAAAACTGGACGCGCCAATTAGCAAATGTACCTTGGCAGTTGTTCCTATAAAAATGACAAACCAAACTGATTAAAAACCTTCGTTGCATTAAAACACGGCAATGTATATAAAGAATTGGAATCGTTGAGATCTCATCTACAGCCTTTTCATGATTACAATTACTTGTGTAATTTGTAAGGACTTTCATTTTTTTCTTGATGTTTCAATATACTGTATATAAATTCAAATCTTCAATACTTTACTAGCTACTACTTTTACCACTGTTGTAAAAGAATAACAAGCAAAACAAACCATCTAAAGACGTAATTGATGAAAATAGCATTATATAATTAGAATACACTGTCTTAAAAGACAATCCTTTAATAAGGATGTGCGATCATCAAAAAACAGTGCAATGATATTACTATTGTACATCCTTCCTGGAACCCAATTTCAGGATTCCATTATTATTATCTTTAAGCAAGAAATATCCACCTTTCTTCCCATGTGAGCTTTGATAAAAGGATTTGCATTTTCATTCCTCAAGTTTTTCGAACTAAGTGCCTGAGTCTCTCCCCTATGTGCACAAAGATACAAATCTCTTAATATTATATACCCTGCTGTAAATCATCACACAATCACATACCATATATCTTTCACTAATGAAGTGTCCATAACTGCATTAAATAAAGGGTATATTGTGGTAAATTTAAGTTCTTCCTCTGTCTTGGCTCCCTTCTTAGACATATTAAATATTCTGACAAAAAAAAATCTTGTTAGATATTAGAGTATACTACATAGATAATGATGAGTCAATCCTTACATAAATTGAATATTCGCGTGTAGTTTTTCGTTATCTTCATAATCTACAAGTTTAACAGGATCACAGCCAGAATCAAAATATTCACAAAGGTTTTTTGGTGTTGGTTGTGGAGACCAGTGAACACTATTGGCAAAACCTTGAGAGATTTCATTGATTTCACTTTGGGAGAACTCTATACACCCATAGAGACTTTCCTGCGTTAGGTCAAAGATGCCCCAGTAACCCAACCTATTAAATTGCAAGCAAACTTAAAAACAAGTAATTTTATTATGTTGAAATCTTAGCAACAAAGCTTACGTTATAATTTGGCGTGACTTTGGAATTTTTTCTTGATAGTTCTTGAATTTCTTGGAGATTCTTTGCAAAAATTCTTGCTTTGAAGTCTATCAAGTATAATTATATCAGCATGCTAAGAATATAATTATCAAGTTTTAACTTGACTGTATCGAACAAAAACTTACATCAATGATCTTCTTTGAAACTGGTAATGTTGTCTCTCCTTTCAAATCTGATTTATCAATAGAATTAATTAAAACATCCTCATTTGATTCATCAAAGAGAACAGACTCTTCTGTTGGTTCATCATTGACTGTTCTCCTTTTTTTCTGTTCATGGGAACTTTTTTGTCCTTCAGGATTTCTTGTTTTAATTACTCCACTTTCTTTTTTTCGTTTATTTTCTTGACTTTTTAATGACATTTTGATATGTATTAAAAAAACAAAAACATGTATAGTACATTTTAGCATTTCTATTTATGTAAACTAGAGTGATGAGTGATGGCGATAACCACCACCACCATTCTTAATACTTACTCTCTCACCTCGACTGCATCTTTGCCTTTTCTTTTTTTGCCAATAATTTTTTTATTGTTTGGCATTTTTTTTGTTAAGTTTGATTTGATCGACGTGTACACATTAACTATTTATCCTATTGGTTTTTTTTTTGGTAGGACGGACGCGATTTGATTTTTTTTTTCTTTTTTGGAAAAACAATTTATTTTTTGACAGAGTCCAAGGTAACAAAACGTGAGTGTTGTTGTTTGGTTTATGGTTTGGTTTGGGTCTCTTAAAGTAACGTGTTAATAGCTAACCAGAGGTACTTTTTTTTAATTTGCATTGATGTTTTTATTTGTTTATAAATATTTTAATTGGAAACAAAACGCGGAACAGATCATTGCTGGGTAATTACAAGATTTTCATTGATAATATTTTACTTTTCGTAATCAATATTAATATACTATTATTATTATTATTATAATCACAGGATGTCAAGGCAGCACACCATTTAAAAAGAAACATTTCGAATATGCGATGTTTGATTATCAGAAATTGGCAGGCGTTGAAGCACGCACGCTACCTTGAACACTTTACAGTCATTCACACACGTTCCTCATGTACATAAGGCTAATCTTGACCTGGCGACCCAAAGATATGATGATGCAACAAAATTCCAGAAGGTGC